GGATGACAGAGGATTAATCAGATCTGTCCCTGATAAACTGGGACAATTGGAGGGTCTGGTAATGTATTAGAGCAGGAATGAATAAAGTGCACCCCAACACTGTTTTGAGGCCCTCGGCACCCTTCCCTCCATCTGGAAAATGATTTGTGGTTTATTTCCTGGTTGAAAAAAGAAGCCTCCCATGGGCCTAATACAGCTGGGGGGGGGGGGAGTCAGGCAGAAACATGGTTAGATTGCCTCTTATGGGGCAGAGGGGGCACCTTTAGTGGAAAAAAGATAAAGTTGGAGGGGAGGGAGGTCCCTTGGAAGACCAATATCTGGCAATTGCCCACCACAGAGATATACCTCCTTATGCACTTTCCTGTGTACATGTATGAGTCTGCTTTGAGCTACCACAAAAGTGGCATGGATGAAGCACTGTTTGGAATCTGAAGAGAGAAAAGAAATATTGACAGTACAGTCAAACACCAATGGAGTTTCTGGCCTCTGTAGACAGGGCTTGTTGAAGACCCAATGGTGAAAGAGGGAGTAGAGTGAGAGCGCAAAACTCATATACAAACACGATTTTGGAGATGAAACCTGGCCACAGCTTTATGGGTAACAGCTGTTAGAGCAAAGCTCTGACAAGTCCAAGGGCTCCTTTTAGGACTATATGGGAGTCACAGGGGCTATCAAAAAGTTGTTTTAAAAAATCCCCTCAAAATTATTGGAAGTCCTCTTTGAGTTCACAAAAATTGGTCTTTTTTAATGTTGGAGGATTTACAACATATTTAAAGTGTAAGTTGTTATACCTGGTTGCTTCCAGGAGCAGCAATGTACTCTCTGATTTTGGCCAGAAAAAAGGTCCACCTGGGATTGTGGAGGTGTCAAGGGCCACAAAAATACCTTTGAGGAGGCTACACTTTGCCCAGCTCTCTGTTATAGTCTTGGCACAGCACAAGGCACTAATCTAGGCACTGAAAGACCACCTGCCAGCTGATAAAGCCCTTCACTCAGCCCACTTGCTGGGGAAACGGTGGAATAGCAGGATCTTAGGTTCCACATAGGTTGCCATCATCCACTATGTGGTTCTTCTGACACTTGGAGTGAAGTAGCTCAAACAACCCCTGACCTTGGCTTGTCTCTCACAGGCTTCATTCCAAGATCCCTTGAGGTGACCTCTGAAATTGGGGAAACTGGCACACAGCCCCCTCAATGGGTATCAAAACCACTTGCCTCAAAGTTGTGACAAAGACAAAACTGGACTAAAACAGTAAAATGGATATAACTATCAATGTGAATATCTAGTAAACAAGGAAACTTGTGCGTCAATAATGCCCCAAGGGAAAGAGGTTGGCTGGGGAAATCTGGAGCCCACTGAGTACTGGGGGCTCTGTGAGGAGTCACATTCTTCAACCAGAAAATTTGGCCTCTGATTCATCAGGCTCCAAGGGAAGAAGCCAATATGGATGCCCCATGGAGCAGTGCTGAGCCACTGGAGGGAAGATGTCAGCCCTCTTTACCTTTACCCAAGCCCACTGATGAGAATCCTGGAAAAACTAGGGTCCATCTTGTTTCAAAAATATCATCTCTGAGAAATAGCCCCTCAGTCAATCACTCTGAGCTCAAGACAATTCTAAACTCTGAAATTTCAAGGTCAAAACCTGAGACTCACGACACCACAAGGGGTGAACACTGGTGATATTACAAGGTGGATGTTCCAAGGAGTGGTCCTTGGTGATGTCATTGAGTATGATAGGAGACAATCAACTGCAGTTACTCAGAGTATGCCATTCAAATCAAAAATACCACATATAATAAATAAATAAGGAAAATACATAAACACATATCTTTCAAGGCAGTTCTTACACCCTGGGAGTCCTTCAGCCTCAAGTCTGAAGAAAAGAGGCTAGGGTCTATAATCTGATAACTCTTGTTTGGATTCAGAATTCACACAACCAGAGCAAGTCCAAAATCCTTTACTGTCTGAGGTGGAATATTAAATGGACAGCCCAAATTAAAGTAAATTGTTCTCAAGCTCAGCCAAATTATTTGAAACACAAAGAAGAAAATCTACCAAAATATCTCTTCCCATCTCCTTTAATAGTAAAAATGCAATAATCAACAATTGCATAAAGGAGAATTTGCTTGCCTTCCATGATAACTGATGGCGCAGTGGTTAAATGCCAGTACTGCTGCCACAACATTGTGAGTTCAATTCCAAGGCTCCTTTCATAGGTCAGTAAAATGAGTACCCAGCTTGTGGGCTTACAGATTGGCTTACAGACTGTAAACCACTTGGAGAATGTTGAGCACTATGAAGTGGTATAGAAATGTAAATGCTATTGTTATTGCTATATCTAGAATCTGCTACCTGTGGCAGCTGACTAATACTAGGGCCAGTCCTTCACATAACATGTTTTTTTCATTCCTTCTTCTCCACTGTAGCCTTGTTCACCTTAAAAGCTATTCTGAGTCTCATGAAATCCAACAGTGTGGAATGCCACGCAGATTGCAGGGAAAATTGGCAGAATCGGACCAGAGTACCTCACTAATTGAGTAAACAAGCCATTAAAGAAATTCTTTTTATGATCTCTGCACGGAATTCACTAAAAACGTGTCCCTCCTTGTTTGGACTCCATACCTGTTGCACTAGAGAGGGTGCGACAATATCCTTCACTCAAATCTCTTAATGGTGTTTCAAACAGTTAAGTCACTATGGAAGCATCAAACTTTGACATATCTAAATGTCTTCAGTACTATCATCCTTTAAGACTTTAATAAGGCTGTTCAGTGGGTTGTTTCAGCTTGCCTTCAAAATAACTCCTAACAAGAATTAATATTAATAGACAAGTGTTTATTTGGATTCTATAATATATCACATTTCCCTAATATGCAAAGTACTACATAATTGGGGAAGAATTCATTCAGAGCCACATATTTAATTGCTATTTTGATGGATCTGCCAACCAGCCAGTCTAAAAAGTTCTGAAACACTGCTGCCTTGGAATGTAATCCATCTAAGTGGAAGCATTTAACCCAGAATTTCAGTATTGGGAACAAAACTTCTAATTTTCCATCTCTAGGATTTGGCGTGCATTTGGACAGAAACATTTGTTTCCCACAACATATTTTTTTCATGTTGTGACAGAACAATTTCCTTTCTTTAAAAGCAAAAAAGGTAACTTTGGAAATAACTGAACATCAAATTGGATGTTAAGGTTGATGTACATTCCCTAATATTAATCTTTTTCCTATGCCACAGTTGGATTTTCTCAGAGATACATTCCTCAGCAATCAGATCTGTAAATTAAACCCATGTGATCCAATGAACAACAATAAAACAAAGCATGGTACGTACAATATACATAGGTGAGAAAAAGCATGTGCTATACCAGTGATCCCCAAACTTTGGTCTTCCAAATGTTTTGGATTTGAGATCCCAGAATTTCTAACAGTTGATCACACTAGATGGGGCATAAGGGAGCTGAAGTTCAAACCACAGGGAGGAACAAGGATCTAGAATCACTGTGCTATACAAATAGACATCTTTTATCACTTGTAAGAATACCTTTGCAAAAAATGTGCTAAACATATCATCTGGTTTCACCCTGTGTGACAGGCACATGTTTTGTATGCAAAAGGTCCTGTTCAGTCCCTGACATCTCCAGGTAGGCTGTCATTTGAAACCCCAGGGAGTCACTACCAATGCAGACTGCACTGAACTAGATCTGTTTGATACAAGACAGGTTCCTATGTGTTGCCCACTCTTTCTTTAAAAGGCAAGTTGAGAAAGCTTCATTGGTAGAAAACCATAGGGATATTCACACATGACACTGTATATATGTTTCCTCTGTCCCCATGGTTGTTTAGCTCTTTGTGACACAGAGAGAGAGAGAGAGAGAGAGAGAGAGAGAGAGAGAGAGAGACGTAATCTAGAGCAATGGTTCTCAAATGGTGGGGTGGGATCCCCAGGGAGGAACAAGATTTGCTCAAGGGGGACATGAGATTCGGTGGCCCTGATCCCTCCTCCTCTTCCCAAACCTTTTTATGTGTAAAATTTACACATGCTTTAAGTTAAATATTGATTTTACTCAAATAAAACTGTTCTAATTTGAATGAGGTTATTTCCTTTTAATGTTAAGATATGAATAAATATGAACATGTGAGTGAAAATATGCACACTAAATAAATGAAATATTTTTATTCATCTACTACATTGAGTGGGGTGGGTGGGTGTGACATCCGCATGAAGATGTAAAGGGGAGGGGGTCCCAAGGGTAAAATGTTTGAGTACCACTGCTCTAGTGTCCTCAACTTGAGTCTTCCTTATCTGGAATTCTGAAATCCAAAATAATCCAAAAAACCAAACCTTTCTTCACAGGTTCCTGAAATAGTGACACCTTGGTTTTCTGATAGTTCAGCGTGCACAAACTTTGTTTCATCCTCAAAATTATTTAAAATATTATAGAACATTACCTTCAGGATAAGTGTATGAGGTGTATTATATTAATATTAATAAATGATTTTTTGCATTTAGACTTGGGTCCCAACCCCAAAATATCTCATTATGGATGTGTATGAAAATATAGGTAGTCCAATATCCCCAAAAGTCCAAAATCCAAAACATCTCTGGTCCTAAGCATTTCGTATAAGGGAGACTAAACTCAAAGTCCACTAGTCACACCACCCACTCTTCCCACAGCCTGCAAAGTTGTTTAGATGTTTTGTGAGTGAATCTCTTCCTTTTGTGTTTAGTTCACACAGGACCCTGTAGATATGCTCATACTTTTTATACACTTGTTTAAAAATCGGCAGGAATCACTCTCATGATAACTTGCTGTTTTACAGTGAATGCTTTCAGCTTTGGGTGGAAGCTATGAGAAAGCCTACATTGCCTCCTCAGAGATGAACAATTCTGGCCATGTATATTTAGGGAATTATGGAGGAAAACATGCTTCACTGTGTCTACTCTTGTTTGGACTAACAATTGGATCTAGCCCATTGTATTGATGGTTCAAGTCAGTGTGGTGTAGTGGTTTAAATGTTGGACTACGACTCTGGAGACCAGGATTTGAATCCCTGCTTGGCCATGAAAACTGACTGGGTGGCCTTAGGCAAGTCACACTCTCTCAGTCTCAGAGAATGGCAATGGCAAACCCCCTCTGAAGAACCTTGTCAAGAAAACCCCATGATGCCTTAGGATCTCCATAAGTCAGAAACAATTTGGAGGCCCACAACAACAACAATGATGGTTCTTTTCTTTTTCTTTGCCAAACAGAAGACATCTAATAAAATTACCTCTTATTGCTTCTGTCTTCCAGCTGATCTTTTCTTCAAAACTTTTCTTCCAAACTCAATAATACTAATTGTCTAATTATAAAAACAAGTGTTAAGAGGATAACCATGTTTCTTTCTTCAGGTGTGTAAATCAGTAGCTCCTTCAAAACCTCTTTTATGATCCTAGTAGCTTTTCTTGGCAACCTTTTCATTATCAGCATCCTCTTCAAATCACAGTGTCCAGAAGAGAAGGGGTTACCACAGATATGGATATATTGGGTGTTGTGTGCCTTCAAATCATTTTAGTTCAAGCCAGTGTGGTGTAGTGGTTTGAATGTGGGACCACGACTCTGGGTTCGAATCCCTGACTCTATCATGCAGTTTTCTTGGAAAATTCTTTTTTCAGAGGCAGCTTACCATTGCCATCCTCTGAGGCTGAAAGTGTGTGACTTGCCCAAGGTCACCCAATGAGGTTTCATGGCTGATCGAGAAATCAAACCCTGATCTCCAGAGTCATAGTCCAACACTCAAACCACTACATCATGCTATTACTGCTAAGCAAAGTTATTTTTGAAAAAAATATTTGGTCTGTTTTAAAGAATGATTTTACCTGTTGTATGTCACCTCAGAAATCCTAGTGGGCTGAGACATAACAAGTACACAAAAACTTGTTCTTCTTGAGTGCTGAAAACAGTGTTCTGGTTAACAGATATAAAATCCACTGGACCATAAGGTTCCCTGTTTCCCTACAGGCCTTTGCCTTTTCCCCATTTCTCAGGAAGAGGGAGAGAAATATCAGGATTAGTAGCATTTAATTGAAAATTGTGTGTACCTATATTCTCTGAAATCTACTCTGAAAAATGGCAGCTGGTGGCTAATGTACTATCATGCTTAATGACAATAACCAGAGGCCACCGCTTATAACATCACCTCCTGGAACTTCACAAAATATTGTTGCAACAGGTCTTTACCCTGGGAAGATATTAACCAGGCAGTCCTATTGAACTACCACCTATGGACTCATGCTCAGTCTGACTACAAACAGTTTTACAACCTGCATGAGAAGAACGGGATATAAAAATGTAACCTTCCAGGAACAGTCACTGTGGGTTAAAAAAAACAAAACAAAACACACACATACATTTCTAAACAGACCTTTAAATTAGAATGAATGGATTTCCGTGTATTAGGATGATGTCTTTGTTCTTATTCCTTTGGACTGGTCCTGATTTGATTGTATTTTTCTTTCCTTTTCTCTTTCTTTCTTTCTTTCTTTTTTGGCTATCCTATGTCTTTTTAAGTGTGTTGTTGAAGTTAGCTCCTTTGAGGACCTTTTAAGTGAAAGGCAGAATATTGACAAAAAAAGGAGGGTCAACAACAATAAACAAAAATCAGACAAATTGAAGACCTCAGCTACTTCTAAACTGTAGATTTGAACATGATAATTTAGGAGGAAGTCCTCTTGAGCACAGTGGGACTTACTTCTGACTAAACATGCATATGATTTCACTGCTAATTTGAACAAAGTCTCTGATACGGAGATCTATTTTGCAATGGGGAAAAATCAAACAGCATTAAATTTAAGAAGGGACTTGTGTGGACTAGGAAGTTTTTTATTGTTTTCCTTTTATTGTTTGTGCACAGTGTTCAGTGACTTCATTTATTTTGACATCACTCTGCTACTGAATATTGAAGGATGAGTGTCTTTCTGATGGCTACAAAAACAAAAGGTCTTTCAATTCTGTTTGGGGTGGTGGTGGTTTGTACCAAGGACTTTTGTCATGAAAGTCAAATATATCCCTTTGAGAAGCTCAACTTTTGATATGTGCCAGGGCTTAAATCCAATTGTTAGTCTTAATGAGAGTAGACCCATTGAATCGATTGCACTTATATAAGTGTTGACATATCAAATCTCCAATGATTTATTAAATCTAATCTAGTCGGGTCTAACAATTGTATTTTGGCTCATGTCATTTTGCTCAAAAAGACACAAAAAGACATTAAGAAGCATGCACATTCTTTCCCAAATAGATCTTCCCACATACATACACAGATTCAATGGTGCACAGTGACTAGTGCATAACTTCAAATAACTGCCATGTAACTGATAAAACACATTTGACAAATAACTTGCATCAGTCTCAAGTATTTAAAATCCTGTATTGGATAGCTCATAGTTTACATTCCCTATTGAAAAAATGGAAATAATAAAAATGAAAGAAGAAAAATATGTCTTCGTGCCATGGATTTGCTAACTTTGGGCCTTCACAGACTGCCAGAAATAGTGCAAGTTGAGTCCACTTTAACTGCCCTGGCTCAGTGCTTGGGAATAATGGGAATCGTATTTTTTCTGAGACATTGAGCCTTCTCTGTCAGAGAGCTCTGGTGCCACAATAAACTACAGTTCCTATGATTCCCTAGCACTGAGTCAGGGCAGTTAAAGTGGACTCAATTTGCACTATTTCTGGCAGCCTGCAAAGGCCCATCTTCCTTTCTGCAAAGTGGGGATAGACATTGTAGTGGCCTATCCCATGGTGCTGTTGTAGGAGACAAAGAAATGTTGAACAGAACTTTCCAAACAAGAAGCAAAATAGCAAATATAAATTGTAGCTGGCAAACGGGATTTTTTTTTGGTGGAGGTGGAGTTAGCGTCAGGGCTTACTTTCAGGCAGTGGAAGTTTTAAATCTGGTACCTTCCCAAATGATGAATTGTGTAGTGTAAAAGGGCCCTAGCAGTTATCTGGATTTTAAAGAGGTTTTAAAGAGGTTTCCCTTCTCTTGTCATGTGCTGAAAGGACTTTAGTTTGCTTTGAGTAAGATGAACCTTGCTGGGGGGGTGGGGCGGGCAAGACCACTGTTTGTTTTTCTGCCTCAGACACCAACATTTCTTCTACCAAAGCAAAGCAGCTTCATTTATATACCGCTTCATACCATGTTATGCAGTGTCTAAGTGGTTTACAATGTAAGCCCATTGCCCCCCAACAGTTGGGTACTCATTTTAGCGACCTCGGAAGGATGCAGGCCTGAGTCAAGCCTGAGCCCTGGCTAGTATTGAACTCACAACCTTGTGGTTTATGAGTGAGTGGCTGCAGTACAGGCATTTTACCACTGTGCCACTAGGGCTCCTTTGTGTAGGTGCTGTGTTGTCCTTGGCCCAAATCTGGCCTAGGGAAAGGGTTAAGATTTGTCTTTTTTAATCATAAATATTCCTAAATGTTTGACTATTAACAGTTTTCTCTTTCTCAGCTTAAGGTGAGATGTTCCTTTCACACTCTTAATTGGGCTGATAATATCTAGCAGAAAGTAATTGCAAGACACGTTTGTTCCTGGTCTTCCAGAACTGACCTGCATGGAGCATGTGGGATCACCATTCAGAGCCTCTCGTTTTTGTACCAGCTGGACAACTGAAGGTATATCCTCCAAACGTTATGGTAGTAGGATTCCACTACAATGGCCTCTGTGTTAGTGAGGTGCTAAATCTGATCTGAGGCTTCATCTAAAATTTCAAGGAGTTCTCCAGAGTTCTGGACACAATCTGCAAAATAGACTTAGTGGTCAGGGCAGTGGTCACTGACAGTTTCCATAATAGTGAGGCACTGGGTTTTAATCTGAGCCTCATCCCTAAAATTGCCTCAGAACTTTAGGTAGCCCTTTTAAAGACGCAGGAATAAAACCTAGAGGAGATTGACTATCCTATTGGCATGGGAAATGTAAGTTGCCATTGCTGAGGCAGCTGTCTCATGCACCAGATTTTTCATGCCATCTAAAGGTGTTAAACTGTCAGTTATTAATGCACTGTTACATTGTTTACTGCTAAAGATAGGCAAGGTTGCATGTGGGATTTTCCAAAAATACGTGGTTGGGCATGGATACTATGCCCTTGACTTGATGGTAGGGTGCCTTTTCGGCCCCATCTTAGCCAGCAAAACATCTTGGGTTAGCCCTGCTTTGTCACATTCCACCAAGCTGCTCAACAAACAGATCAGAACACTTCTTCTTTGGGATAAGAGCAGTTTTTTCACTGATTTGGAGGATCACACAGACAACTAGAACAAAGAGGAGAAAACAGAATGTCAAGACAATTATATACACACACACACACATGATTGTTCACAAGATATTCACATGGGGTGTGTCTATACTGCAGAAATAAAGAAGTTTGACACCACTTTTGACTCAATACTATGGAATTCTGGGATTTGTAGTTTTGTGAGATATTTAACCTTCCCTGCCAGAGAGTTTGGGTGCCCCGCCAAACTACAATAGGAAGTTAAAGTGGTGTCAGACTGCTTTCTTTCTGCACTATGGCAGCAGCCATGTATAAAGTGCACATGTTTGAGAGACCTGTTCCCATGGCTCTACACACCCCTTGCCAGTAGCTTGGGGAAATGATTTTTAGAGTACAGCTCCAAGAGCCACCTAGCCAGAACAGCCATTGACCATGTTGGCTGGAGGATTCTGAAAGTTGTAGCCTCAAAGAGCACTTTTCAGACTCTACACTGGTGCCCACCCACTGGATGGATGCATACACCACTGATCTTGTTCCTTAGACATCCATGTCTCAAGGTGGATATTTGCAAACAGTCAAGGGTCCCAATCATGTGGTGTTCCTACATATTCTCAGCTGAAAGTCTTTGCAGATGTCTGCAAAGCAAAGATGTCATCTGGGAAGACCCAGTGGGGTGCAGTTGGTATCACAGCCCCAATTTCCCTTATCTGTTTATACTTTGGATGCACCAACACCTTGCAAACAGGGTTTAGGATACGTATTAAAATAGGTAAAATATGCTATTTCAGTCACACAAAGGGGACT